TATGCTTTGGGGTGTTTATCCTGGGGTAGAGATGGCCAAGTGTCTGCAAAGGTGGCAGTCATTGGCCCCTTTTCCTGCTTGGTGTGCAGAGGAACTCTGGCTTCATGTATTTTGTTTTCCTTTCCTTTTAGTTTCATTCTACCGCATCTAACACATTCTCTCTCTCTCTCTCTCTCTCTCTCTCTCTCTCTCTCTCTCTCTCTCTCTCTGTCTCTCTCTCTCTCTCTGTCTCTCTCTCTCTCTCTAGGGAAAAATAAGGTCAGAATCTGACCGCTTGGCTCTGCTGCGCCCCAGCCTCCTACATCACTAACTCCTACATCACTAACTCCTACATCACTAACTCCCGTTTGGTCCCTGCTGGGAACAGGGTCTGCACGGACTAGAGAGTGAGCACAGGGAACGGTGAGGGGAACGCTGCCCGTTCACACAGACCACCCTTCTGACGGAGGACTGGACTTCAGTGAGATATCTCGGAGGCCCCAGCCAGCCACCTCCCAATTGCTTCCTTCCCCTCATCCCTCACCTTGGCCAGAGGCAGGACAATGAAGGCACCTCCACCTCCAGCCTCCACAATAATGGCCAGAAATTTGGGGTTGACGGCACAGAAGGCACTGTCCCAGGTGACCTTGGATACCCGGATGTCCTCATAGGCCTGGTCGGCCTTTGCTGCCTGACCAAACACATGGCGGAACTTGCTTTGCCGAACCACTCGCCGGCTCATGGCTGGAGCAAAGATAGGGGATATCAGAGCCTAGAGGCACGTTGGTCCTTAGTCCTGTGAACTGTGGGAGGGAGGCAGAAGCGAGTAAGTAGAATTATCTGGTAAGGAGCAGGGCGCTTCCTTCCAAGTGACCAAAGGAGGATGCAGATCTTCATCACCTGTCCAATGTTGTTTAATTTGAGGGGCTAGGACGGGGAGTCTGGCCACTTCTTAGACACACAGGCTAGGGGGGTAATGGAGACGGACATAGGGTTGAAACTTCCTGGGAGACGGGGATGTTTTGAGGAGCAATATCAGTGGGTCCCCTCCTGCTGCGGGTCATGGATGAGCACCTCTTTGCAAGTGTTTGTGCCTCCCGGAGACATCCTACTCAACACACTCCCTCTTGGTCACTGGACCTTAGTTCAAGGTTAGCGGTGGGGCTAGGATTCCAGCTAGGATCCCCAAATTCTCATCTCTGGCAGAGTTCAGGCACATGTGTCTTTTTCTACATTCCTCCTGTCAGCCTGTCTCCACTCCCGTTTTCATCGGTTTTCTCCCGTGGTGGGGGGGTATGTGGGAGAGGGCAGTAGAAGGTAGATCTCCCTTTTGTCCATTCCACCAAGCACAGGCTTCTCTGAGAAGCCCGACCATGGTCCTCTGACATGAATACTGCACTTTAGTCCAGCTTCTTTGGGCGTGTTGCCTGGACCTGTGCTGGATCTTCTAGTAGGTTCTCCTGAGAGTGGGGGCCCTCGACCCCATGGGCAAGGACCAGATGTGCGCCCGTGAGGAGGTGAGGTCCTTTTCCTGGAGCCAGGACCTCAGCTACGCTACTTTCCCCAAGGGGACACACCAAGCTCTCCCAAAGGCCCACTGCTTCCTGCCCTTCCCCAGCCCGGGCATCCCTGTGCCCTTCAAACCGCTCCTGCAGCCCCAGGCCTGAAGCCCGGCCTACCCGCACCCTCCTCTCGCCTCTTGCCCCTGCAGTGCGTTCTTGTGAGACTAGGTGTCTCCTCGCTAGTCGCTGTCCGGCCAAATATAGACACCAAGTCCGCCCTGCCGGACCGAATTTAGCGGCGGGGAGGGGGGGGGCGCAGACCTCTGCCCCCTCCAGAGACCCCGCCCGCTCCGTTGGCTGCGGTGGCGGAGGCGGGGAGGGGGGTACCTGGTCCTAAGCCGGGCGGGGGTGCTCTCGCAGCGACTCCTCTGCGGAGTGGGCCGGGGTACGCGGGGGGCCGAGGGAGGCGTCCGGGGCCAGGCACTGGGTCGCGCGTTCCGGCCGCTGCCTGCGGCTCTCAGCTGCCGGCTCCGCTGCAGTCCCAGCTGCTGCTGCCATCAACCTGAGGGGGCGGGGCCGAACGGGGGGGGGGCAGGGCCAGGCCGATGCGGCCACGCCCTGTCCAGCGCGGGAAAGTCCTGCGTCTCAGCTCCGCCTGCCCTGGTAAGATGGGAAAAGTAAGTGTGCGTGCCCGGTGTCTCCCTCCGGCCCTCGCACGTAGGTTCGGGAGGCCCAGGCGCTTGGCACAAAGCGGGACACCGAGACTGGGAGCCACCGCGAATAATCAGGTGCCTGAGCGCCGCATTCTTGCCGCAATCGCGCTGCTAATTTAGTCGTTCCCAGCGGGCGGGGCTGTGGGGCAGCACAGCCAGGACCCGCTGGTTAGAGAGGCCCCTGAAGATGCTTTGGGGGAATCGTCTCAGTCGCTTGATGAAGGTCAAGGCTGGCCCAGGGCAACTTCGAGGCTAAGGCTTTTATTAACAGCGATAGCGATCGTTTGAGAACTTAAAACACTGGCACCGGTATAGGCGTTTCGCCCTATTAGAAGGTTCCATGAAGCAGGAAGCTCAGACACCAGGCAGAGAAAAGTGAACTCACTCCCAGCACCAGGTTCAAGTGGAAAAGGCTGGCATAGATACTTGGCCACATTTTAGAGGTCAGAGGAACCAACTCTGAAGATGAGAGCCTTTGTTTGAGACGGTCCCTCTATTCTAGGGCAGGATTCCCTCACTCCCAAGACCTACAGGTCTGAAGTACTTACTGTTCAAGGTCAAGGAGATAAAATACAACCAGGGAAGAGCAGCCAGTTCCTGAAGTTGCTGTTTACTCAATGCCTGCTCATGATTTCATTTCTTCCCTCCCATCTTAGGCCCTGGAGGGCAGTATGGGGGCCGGTTTCAGGCCGCACATACAATCAGCCTTCTGTATGGTAGAGACCAGTGTGTGTGTGTGTGTGTGTGTGTGTGTGTGTGTGTGTGTG